TGAAATAGATCAAGGGGAGTAATTGTGTAAGTCATTTATGAACAAAGTAATAACTTTGTTGTCTCCCTTTGATTAAACTCTATTTACAAAATCTGGATATTTCATCATCTTTAGTGACCTTGACCTTGTATATATTGACCTAAATTATATGTATCACAGCCATAGTCTTGATAATGACCATTTGTGTTACAATCCCTCAATAAATGATGACTAAATGGTCCATATACACATCTTCATATTTTTATCTGAACTTTGACCTCTATGTGTGACCTTGACCTTGGCCGCAAGGACCTGAAGTTGCAAACGCGACACTCCGCCTCACAATGGTGAACATTTGTGCCAAGTAATATTGAAATCCCTCTATACATGTGGAAGTTTTGCTCCAGACAAGCATTTTTCAATGAGCTCTAAGTGTGACCTTGACCTTTGACCTAGAGACCTGGGTTCATGTGCGCGACACTGCTCCTCATAGTGGTGAACATTTATATGAAGTTTCATTAAAATCCCTCCATACATGTAGGAGATATGCTCCGGACAAAATTGGACGCCGCCCGCCCGCCCGCCAGGGGCGTTCCCATAATACGTCCCGTTTTTCAAACGGGCGTATAAAAATGGTCTGAATTCTGTCAAAATCCATGTCAGAGTTATGGGTCCAGGACAATGACCTCCTATTATGCACCAAAATACATGTAGGTGTATTAAGTTTTAACCCATTCCCTTCAGTAGTTTAGGAGATATCAACTTGTACAAAAAAACTTTACCAAAGTGCCATGCTGGCACCTTTATCAATGCTGGGGCAAGTATAAAAGCTCTCCTTATTCTTCGAATTATAAGTCAAGCTACATGTACTATTTAACCACATAATGTGTATTTAGCTGCTAAGTGAATACATTTGCACATAATCTAAAAAAAGTTTTATTAAGGTAAACAAATACCTATTCTTTAAAACAAGACGGTCATTACAAGTAAGCTAAATATCTTCACTGCTGAACTCATTGCATTCCTCAAGTTTCATAATAATAAACATAGTAGCGCAAAATTTAAATTCTAATCAGGCCAGCGATTTGTAAGCAATGGATTTATTATTTAACTCAATACAGGATTGGAGCAGTACCTCTAGATGCTTGCAGAAATCATGGTCAATAAATAGTCATATATCATTTTTTTCACCGATTCTTACATTTTCATACATTATCATATTACATAAATCAGTTTGAAAAGGTGAATAAGACATTTTTAAGTTCTTTTCATTGGGTGAAAAGGCACAATTTTAGCATTTAATCATTCAAGCGCCTTGTCCGGTACATACCGCGGAATATCATGTATTGAGTGTGTTGCTCCAATCCTTTTTTTTTAGTCTTACTCGTTAGGCAAACTCAAAGTTCTGTAAAAAGATTTTAAGGGACAACCAGTGATATCCACTGGTTTTGATAGCTTTATACTGTTTACTCAGCTGATTGTCCTCCTGTCCTTCCTCTGTATCATCAGAACTATCATCAGAGCTATCATCTGAATCATCTGATGATTCCTGAAATTATAAGTTAGATTTTTTTAAGCTATCTATGTATAAATATACTATATAAATTACAAGATAGTGTATTAAATAAGTGCAATAAAAATTAAAAATCTTAAACTGCCCTACTGGCATTTTACATAATTATATGAACTTAAAGTACGTACAAAAGTATATAAACAATGTATATACTTAAGTTTATACACAATGGAATATTACACTGTTGACATTTTTTTGTTTGGTTTATATCCCTATTATATATTATCTTAATAAATTATAAAACAAAAGACTTTAAAAGAATGTTGGACTGTAAATCCAACTAGCATGTTATTGGCCTCAATGATTACAAATAAATTTTGTGCATGATGTAACCTGGCTGGTAAAACACCATGGTTTCAAACTGTAAATATTTTTTTCTATTTTTAGTAACAGTGACCTTGACCCTAGGGGCCTTTTAAGCAATCCCAGTGCAGTGTATTACAATGTTTTAAACTTTAGGTAGTGATCGGATACCACCTACTTGACACCCACATCCCATACATCTGCCATTTGTCAATTCAAAATTGAAAAGCTGTTTTAAAATGCATTATCTTACAAGTCTCAAAAACATTTTCACAATTTGTTTGAGACTCTGCAGAGCTATCTATTTATATAGATAATAAAAACATTACAATCAACAAATGGAAATTGAAGTAACAAATGTGCTGTATTATAAATATACATGAACTCACCTCTTCTGAATCTGAATCTGAAATGAACCAATTTAGAATGAGGTTATAAAAAAGTTCCCTGATATAATATTGACTCAAAGATAATTGTCAATTATAAGTTACAAAAAAAAACAGAAAAAGGGCAGGTATCAATTTAAAGTAACTGACCTTGACTATTACCATATCAACTTAAGACACCTAAAAACTGTAGAGGATTATTTTTAATAAAGTTGCATAAATGATTACAAAATTATAACTATGTAATTAATGACAAAATTGTGTTTTTTTCTACCAAAGTTGCTTTAAAGCAGCCTACAGCTTTTATTTTCTGTTTGAAAAATTAGTCTGTGGGAAAACAATTCTGTGTTGTTTGAAACTAAGTATCACGGAAAAATGTATCATATCACTGTGAAGCCTTCTTCAAAATAGCATTCCGAGAGCTATTTATAGTGTCGGGACATTTGTTTCTAAAACTAGAAGATCTGAAAACAAATCCTCTTATTTAAATATAGAGAGCGGAATGGTAGATTAGAGGTATCTAGGGGTTTCCTTATTGTTTATGTATTTTATCATCAACAAATTTCATTTTCCACCTTAATTCTGTAGGCTACGTAATTATGACACTTATATGTAACATAACATATTTAACCTTAAGTAAAGCTGAAGGCCACTTTAATATCTAGAGAATGGTAAAAGACGTAAACTGTCATACTACATGTACCTTCATTTTCTTCTTGCTCTTCTTTGGCTCTAAGTTGGGCCTCATACTGTGACAAATGTCCATCATGTACAACGGGACTTAGTCTGAAATAACATAGGAATAATTTAAAACAAAAATTAAAAATTTTATAATAACACAAACAAATCTCAAATTTTAGTTCGGACTTCAACACTTTGAATACTATCTTCATATCCATGGAAATAAGAAGTTCATAAAAATTTTGCCCATTTCCTTTCCCGAAAAATTACCCTTGTCAGTTAAATCTAAAACTTTTTTTTAGAAAAAAAATAAAAATTTTGTATAACATGCAATATTTTCCCCTTTTTAATTTAGAAAAAAAAAAGGAAAAAAGTCACAATTACAATATGATAAGGATCTTCACTTAGCCTACTGTTCTGCATCAGCATCATTTTTAACGTTTTTGATTATAAGAATACTTCTAAGCACCTAGCCACTAATAAGATATACTGTTAGATGTATTATAATCTATCAACTGGATAGCTAAAATTAACTAGACTTTCTACACAAATGTTGCAACCTCCCATTGTTTAACCATTAACCTGTAGAATTTGTATAATGGTTTTGCCCAGCTTTAAATTTGGAACAGTCCATTTGAATTTAAAGGCACATTAAATAATGCCATAGAAACGAAATAATTCTCTTAACTTATTTAAAAGTTTATATTGTTAAATAATAGTTTTAAAAACATTTAAGATGTTTGTAATCTTAAGAAATTAGAGATAAATGTGAAATAATGTATCAAAAAGTAGGAAAATGTAAACAAAAAGTAGTATTTTGACTTCCATACAAAATACTAAATCACTATTATTGTACTAATTGCAAAAAAGCAGTAGATGAAAAAGATGGTTCAGATCATAAATTGGCCAATGACTAACTTTTTGGAAACTATAAAAGTACACAACAATAAAAACGCTTTTGGGGAGTAAGAAAAAAAGCATAAATTCTGAGGCATGATGGGCTTTAAGGGATTGCAGTATCAAAATACAAAAGTTGAGCTACAGTTTAGAGCTGGCTCAGACAGCATCGATGTTCAGGCTGGCAAGCATACATGCCATAAGGTACCGGACGTCCGAATTGTCCCGGAAATAAGGTATCTGTCCCAGACGTGTCCCAAAGATGATTTACATGTTGTATGTCTCGGTTAAAATCAAAATCTAATATAATCTACTTTGCAGCCAGAAATTTCACATTTTTATATAATCTTTTTTGCAAAAATTTTTTTTAAACTTTTGGCTAATAGGATTCAAAAATTTTTCCCCTAAGAATATATCCAAAAAAGATGGGGCCCTGATGGCCCTGAAGTCGCTCACCTGTATATAGGCCCCCATAGCGGGGCCAGTTTAAACCCCAGGGCTTTTATTTGAACAAACTTGGTAGACACCCATTCGAAGATGTTTCATGCTAAACATCTAAGGTCTAGCTGGTCAAGGTTTTTCTTTACACATATAGTTAAAAACAATGACACACCTGGGGCAGGGCCAGTTTGAACCCCAAGGGCTTTTATTTGAACAATCTTTGTAGACACTTACTAGAAAATGTTTCATGCTTAATATCTGAACTCTAGTTATTCGGATTTTTTGAAGAAGATTTTTAAGTTTTTGCTATACACATATAAGGAAAATCAATGACCCCCAGGGTGGGGCCAATTTTGACTTACTAGAAGATGTTTCATGCTTAATATCTAAACTCTAGCTATTTGGGTTTTTTCAAAGAAGGTATTTAAGTTTTTGCTATACACATATAAGGAAAATCAATGTCCCCTGGGGTGGGGCCAATTTTTACCCCAGGGCTTTTATTTGAACAAACTTTGTAGACACTCACTAGAAGATGCTTCGTGCTTAATATCTAAACTCGAGCTATTTGAGTTTTTTCAAAAAAGATTTTTTAAGTTTTTGTTATACACATACAAAATGTATAAGGAAAATGAATGACCCCCGGGGCGGGGCCAATTTTGACCCCAAAGCTTTTATTTGAACAAACTTGGTAGACACTCACTAGAAGATGTTACATGCTTAGTATCTAAACTCTAGCTATTTGGGTTTTTTCAAAGAAGATTTTTTAAGTTTTTGCTATACACACATATAAGGAAAATCAATGACCCCCAGGGCGGGGCCAATTTTGACCCCAGGGCTCTTATTTGAACAAACTTGGTAGACTTGGTAGAACATGTTTCATGCTAAATATCTTAGCTCTAGCTCTATGGGTTCTTCAAAAGAAGATTTTTAAGTTATTACTATATGCATATAGGGAAAATCAATGACCCCCCGGGGCGGGGCAAATTTTGACCCCAGCTAGGGCTTTTATTTGAACAAACTTGGTAGACACCCATTAGAAGATGTTTCATGCTAAATTTCTTAGCTCTAGCTCTTTGGGTTCTTTAAAAGAAGATATTTTAAGTTTTTACTATATGCATATAGGGAAAATCAATGACCCCCTGGGGTGGGGCCAATTTTGACCCCAGGGCTTTTATTTGAACAAATTTGGTAGACACTCACTAGAAGATGTTTCATGCCAAATATCTAAGCTCTAGCTCTTTGGGTTTTTTAGAAGAAGATATTTAAAGTTTTTTTTTCTTTTGGTTGCCATGGCAACCAGAGTTCTGCATGGAATTAAATTCTTTGAACAATTTTCAAAGGTGACCACCAAAGGAACATTCCTGTGAAGTTTGGATGAAATTGGCTTAGTGGTTTATGAGGAGATGTCATTTAAAGTAAAAGTTTACGGACGCCGGACGGACGGACGCCTGACGAAAAGCGATCACAAAAGCTCACCCTGTCACTTTGTGACAGGTGAGCTAAAAATTATGGCATGTATGCAGTGGCAGGTCTAGTCGCATTTGGTTCAAGCAGGGTATAGGTTAACACCAAGTTAAATACAAAGACTTTTTCCAGCTTAATATTGATTAATTATAATCAGCACTTTATACAATATTAGATATAAATCTCTTAATGATGAACTTGACTTGTTATTATAAATAAGTATTGCACAAACCAAACTTTCAACACCAAGCCAAAAACAAAAAGCACCTGTTTTGTTTAAATTAAGAAGCACAGGTAAGGTAATAAAATCCCCCAAAGAAGCAAAAGAACAGTAATTAAGTAAAATATCTCAAACTGTTAATATTTTGTTGATTAACATATTAGGCTGTTGCCAGTACATGTATAGTTATATGCCACTGTCATTCTGTTGATATTTTTTGTACATTGTGGTTTTCTGTTGTTGTTGTTGTTCAATGCTATATTTGTAGCAATTTATTTCCCTTTATTGTCATTTTTTCCACAGCCATTCCAGTGTTTTTATATTTTTATTATTTTTTGTTCATTGTTGTTGTTGTTTAATGCCATAATTTGTAGCAATTTATTTCATTTTATTGTCATTTTTTCCACAGCCATTCCAGTGTATTTATATTTTTGTCTATTTTTATTGTCATTCTATTCTGTTGCCCTTTGAGCTTGTTACCATTAAAGTGAATTGGTCTATAATGGGAGGACTGTAATACCATAAATAATCATGTTGAATGTATTAAGTATCATACATGATAACTAACCATGAAAGAATTTATGCTTTTTATTTAGGGTGATTTACATGACCCAATATTACATATTCATATAAAACTTACAGAACAAAATTAAACTATTCATCATATTTATTGTTATCAATTTTCATACTAAATCATTAAGAACCCTAACAACATTTTTGTTTTCAAGATTTTTTTACCATAATTATCCAAATGATATGTTTCTACTAAATTTATCAATATATGATATACTCAATAAATAAAAAATGTGAATAAAAAAATGTGAATAAAAAAAATGTGCCCATTGTAGACCAATCCACTTTAATTGTGTTGCTGTTCTAGTCTATTGCAATTGTATCCCCATAATTTACTCTTCAACAATATTGTAAGAGAAAGCTCCTATAAATGCAATACTGTGCCTATATTACCTGACAGTTTTCACTCCTGTTCTGTTAATTCTTAAAGAAGGAAGTACAAGAATAATAAACACACACATTTTTGAAAAAAAACACATTAAAGGGAATACTAAATCACAAGAACCCTATTCCAAGATTTTTTTTTACCATAATTATCCAAATGATATGTTTCTACTGAATTTATCAATATATGATATACTCAATAAAAAAATGTGAATAAAAAAAATGTGAATAAAAAAAATGTGCCCATTGTAGACCAATCCACTTTAATTGTGGTGCTGTTCTAGTCTATTGCAATTGTATCCCCATTATTTACTCTTCAACAATCATTGTAAGAGAAAGCTCCTATAAATGCAATACTGTGCCTAGCCTATATTACCTGACTGTTTTCACTCCTGTTCTGTTAATTCTTAAAGAAGGAAGTACAAGAATCATAAACAACCACATTTTTGAAAAAAAAAAAACCATTAAAGGGACTCCACTGAGGTTTTTTGACACAATTGGATTTTAAAGATACCATATATTTACCATATAGTAATATGTATGGACCAATAACTTGTATGCAAACACTTTTTTTCACTCACTTGTTTGGTTTCTCTGGAATAAGCATTTTATGGTACAAAATGACCCAAACAATAAAAGCATTTGTCATGGTTCAGAACTGTTTATTATTAAGGGGAGAACATGTGTAAGCGGCCGGATAGTTCAGTCGGTAAAGCCGCAGTACGGTATTCCTAGGGTCCCCGATTCAAGTCCCAGTCCGGCTGCACTTTTTTCTCAGCCTGTGACTCCAGAGATATGAAATATGGAAAGTTAATGTGCATCATTCTTAAATTTTTTTACGAATCATGCGGATCATTTGGCTCAATAAAAGATTAAACCATTGATAACTATGACTTACTGAGTTGAAGTTGGTCTTTCAAATATCTTGTTTATCTTCTCTTCAGATATTCTAAAATACAAAACAAGATTCTATTTCATTCAAACAATAACTAAAATCTATTAATGACATTCAGAATTGATGAATTTTGATCAGAATAAAAAAAAGAAATACACAGAAAAATAATCGTTTTACTTACATTATATTGAATCACTGATCTTTGAATGATGTTTGTAACTGATAATGAGCTTTCTTTAAAGTTTATATGAATTTCTTTTTAGTTTGATTGTGTTATAAGCTAACACTCTCTAATCTGTTCTTGGAACCAACTAGTACTTAAAGCAATATGTGTAAAATATCTTGCTCAAGGAAACAACAGCTTTCCCCTGACAAGGTTTGAACCAATGCGGTCAACAATTGTTAGATAAGTAGTTCGTATAATTCAGATACAATGTATAAGAAACGAGGTCAATTAATAGTATTTTTACATTTTTCATAATTTTTTTTTTTAACCTTACCAACCTACCTACCCTATCCAAATTTACATGGCCACCCATGGGAAACAATGATAATTTTAAGACTCAATTAAGTAAACAACTTACCCTCCTTTAGCTTGATCTGCCACGTCTTCCCCACTTTCTGTCTCGCTGCTTGTACCAGACGCACTGCTACTCTCCTCCTCAGATGAATCCTCCTGTAATATCGTGTTTCGTCTATCTGCTGCTAGAGCACGTGGGGAATCGTAAGTCATCGATCCTAAACCAAGAGCAACTTTTGGATGATGATACGGCCCAATAGAGTCTTTCTTTCTCAGTCTGATGAGACGCCTGTATGAACCAGAATGCCATACTTTTAAAATTTATGTACAATTCAAATTAAATGTACATGTTATACTGTCATGCACGTCCGGCACTGTTCAGGAAATCAGGTGACTGACCCAGAGGCAGTCTAAAGACTGACAAATAATATTCTTCAAACCCATGTGAAATCTTGGTGAATTATTACACAAAATAATTTCATCTAAATTTTTCTATCATAACTATTTATAATATTCAAATATATTCTACCACTATGTTTTTTCATTGAAAAAAAACAAATTTTGTTAATTTTAATATCTTTTTCTCTAGAATTCTCACAAGAAACCTAAATATATGTAACAAATCTTAAAACCTATTAAGTTTAAAATTCTTCATTTTAACTTTATTCTAAAGTAAAACTTCTGGAAACTGGCTTTCAGACTAAATAGTACTGGTACCATTTTCATAATGAACTTTGTGACCACAGAACACTTGAACTAGTATGTCCCCTGCAAATCACAGATGATGATTCAGCCTAAAATTCTTTCCAAAATAACCAGCTTAGTATGACTTACCTAGCTTTAGGAGGGGTAGTGTCCTGTACTACGGCCATAGCTGGCTGTTCCCCGGCCACAGGTATAATCTTCTCCATCATCACTGTCTCTATAACCTGTGACCTCTGTAAAATAATCAGTGAAAAAAATGACCTATTTAACCTTGTACAAGCAATTATAACAACTCCCCTATGTCATCAGTATTATTGAACAAGAACAAGGAGTATGAATAGATAATTTACCACTGGCTGCTCAAATTTTAGCAGTTTCAGCATTTTGTCATCAGTGCAATAGCATGAAGCTCATCTACACTGTCTTAATAAACTCTATACTACTGACTACACAATGTAAGAATCTGTGTTCATTTGTATCTACTTTGAGCACAGAATGTCAGAATCTGTGTTCTATTGTAACAACTTTGAGCACAAAATGTCAATGTCAGAATTTGTATTTATTTGTATAAACTTTGAGCACTGAATGTTAGAATATGTGTTCATTTGGACAAACATTGGGCACAAAATGATAGAATCTGTGTTCATTTGTATAAGGTTTGAGCACAGAATGTCAGAATCTATATTAGCAACATTTTAAAGCTGCATATCTCAAGATTAGCCAAGGTCTTATTTTAATTGTTGAACACCTTTGTTGGTCATATATGTGACATTTTGTCCAAGCATGAATCTAATCTATAAATATTAAACACAGTTAAGACAATTTAAATTAAATTCAATAATTTGACTTTGTGGTCAAGGTCATTTAAAGGTCATGGTCATATTTGAATTATTCAGCATGTCATTTTTGTTATAATTTTTCTTTGGTCCAAATTTGAATAAAATCTGTAAATAAATAACAAGGTTATGACAATTTAAGCAAAATTAATTAAATTGATTAAGGTCAAGGTCATTAATGAGTAAAGGTCACGTCAATTTGGTCTACTTAAAGGTCTAGTCTAAATGATTGTTGTTTTTATAGTATGAAGACAATCCAGTCATAAATCACAAAGTAATAGCCAGTTATAGCAAAAATCAAGCAAAATTTAATTGACCTTCAAGGTCAAAGTCATTTATGAGTCAAGGTTAAGTTTAGTACAGTCTTCTTGAAGATCTTGTCAAAGTATGAAGAGAATTCATAAAAAAATTTCAAAAATTGCAACCAATTTAAAAGTTGGTTGGCTGTAACTGGAACTGACACCATGACTAGTTTTTCGTTCGGATGTGCATCATTATATCACTCGGGCTACGCCCTCATGATATAATTCCCCGCATCCAAACTCCAAACAGTGATTCTATTGAGCAATAAAATCACAGTTTGGGATATATCATTTCTTAAGTAAAATGTATGTACATTTAACAATTAATCTATTCACATACCGGTGTGGTGCTAAGTTTATTATGTTCCTCAACAGGTCCGTGAGTTGACATTAATACCCGTCTTCCAGGCACAGGTGTCATATGAGTTCCCGTGTATATCATTTGACCTTGACCTCTATAAGGGACACCAACCTGATCAGGGCCTTTTAATGCGTACATCATTTTATGCTTTATTCTTTCACTCGCTGCTTTGTTATTCCTCACACATTGTAGGGCCTCTATGAAGAAGTCCACAGCATCCTGTACCTGACCTTGATTGTAGTTTACTGCGCCAAGACCTTCCAGAGCTTGCCACTTCATGTGCAGGTCACCTAAACACAAGAAAAGATATAGCACTATCTGTAAAAATATATCATTTTCAAATACCCAGAAAGGAAAGAGAAACAACATAATTACAATCAGATGTCTCTATAAAACAAATAGTAAATGTATTATAAGTAGCATTATGATAACCGTAAGAAAATTGGTAAAATTATAACATTTAACTTTTTTCAGTAATAGTATTATATATTTCAGGTAATTCACATTCAAATAACTGGTGACTGAATATATTAGTTTGGCACTTTAACAATGTATGTCATTTACTTTGTTATTTGTCAACAGAGGCAGCAATTTAAAAGGAAAACATGTCTTAACAAATTGTTTTGGTTTTCGAAAATGTTAATACATTGTATTTGGAAATCTTCCAAATTTTTGTCAAATGGCAAAAAGCCTTTGAGCACCCCCCCCCCCCAATTCCTTTCTATCCTGACCCTAGCTTTCTTACTTGTATCTATGGCGGCTTGCAATGCATGATGGAAAGCAATCTCTGCCTGTTTCATTTCTCGTTCTCCCAGCTGGCTAAGAGCAAATGCGAGATTTGTAAAACACTGCCCCTGTCCATTTCTGTAATTTATCGATGCTGAAAATACATGTTTAATATTTTAATTAATGCAATAACTTCCTATCTAAAATGAGTTAGAAAAATGTTTGTATTTCTTAGAATGGTCACTTATTGGAAATAAAAATTTGTAATTGAATCAGGCTCATGTGGCATTTAATAAGATTCAAAGATCCTTTTTTGTTAGCTTTATGCATTTCAAAGAAAGGAGCCATGATTTTTATCTTATTTTTCATAAAACTTCATTTTAAAATATCCCTATCAAAATGAATAAATTCTTTGTGAAATAATATCTTTCTTAACAAGACTCAACTTTAAAGAAGAAAGATATTAATCTCTGAACACCATGAACAAGCACAGAGCACGTAGCACAGCAATATCTCAAATTCTCTAATCTGAAGTCAAATGATTTTATCTCTTATCAGCATTCTTACACTGACAACAGAGATGCATGATGGGCACTTCTGTGAATTATTTTAAGTGCTTAATAGAAAAAAACATGGAAAATACAAATTTAAAAGATGTAAAACTCTGTATGAAACAGGCCAGAGTTATGGTTCTTTTATAGTAGCTTACAAAATAATGCAGAAAAAAATGTGTGAAGTTTTAAGCAAATTAATGCCATTATGGTTTTTAATATACCCTTAGAAGAAATGTTCACAAAAAGAGCTTATTCTTTGTAAGAATTCATGCTAGAGTTATAAATGTTGAAAAATGACCTAAAGATATATTCCAACAGGCATGAACTTATTTTAAGGTGAAACACAGGTCCCTAAGAAGTCAAATAATCAAATGTCATGCCAAAATACATGTACAAATATAGAGGCTAGGACGCTTCACTTTTCTGCAAATAATCAAGCTAAAGATTTCTTTGTTTCGAAAATACTTAAAATTCACCGTATTTTGTAGCTGCGTCTTCGTGGAATTTGATCGCTCTTTGATAATCGCCATTAAAGTTGTATGCAGCACCTAGATTTTGAAGAACAACAGCTTCTAGCTGTGGGTTACTTTTGTGACTGTTCCTGACCTGCTCAACTGCTTTCTCAAAACACTGAGTGGCATCGTCATATTGCTGTAACTGTGTGAATACAAGGCCAAGGTCATTCCAAATCTTTCCTGAAAAAATACACAACATTAATTGCCCATCAGCACCGAGATCTGCATTAATGGATTAGGTAAAAGTAATGAAATAAAAATTAATATATACATGTAATTCACTTTTAAATTTTACAAAATAGCACTTATATTGGGGCACCAATTGTATAAAATATATCTAACTCAGAATTTGTTTAACTTTTAAAATATATTTTAAGTTAATATATCCTAGCTGGTAAGTAGGATATTTTTTTGTACAACCAGTCAAGATTAGAGGCAAAATTTCTCTGCTCCTCATCAAACATAGTGTTATAATAAAAACAAACTGCTCTGTAAGTCATTATCTATTTTACAGGAAAAAAGAAAATTCAACACTAAATATTGGTTATAAGTTTCTGGATAACCCATTGGGTCATAAAGGTACTTTCTGACCTGTAACATGAGCACATAACTTTCAACTTGATCCAATAATGCATCAGGTATCAAGCATCAACAAAGACCACTAATACTAAGTGATTAAGTGCTCAGATATTAAGATCTAAAATTGGTATCTTCCTGCACTCATTGTGCTTGATCTTACATTTCAAAAAAAAAAATATATAAAGATTGATGTCGAAATAGCTTTCAACATGCAATCTGATATATCAACAGTTTTCACTTTACCTGCTACTATGCAATCCTGGCCTTGTGGTTTGCATTTTTCCATAAATTCATTTTTACATTCTAGAGCTGCGTCAGTTGCCTCATTTTTATAGTTTCCAAGCCGGAGCTCTGAAGCTCTCTCACACAGCTTTTCTACTCTACTTAGTTCATCTCCCCCACTCAAAATGTCTGCCATCTGCTTACAAATATCAGCAGCCTTCATAAAGTCTTTCCTTTCATGATATAATTTAAAACACTTTTCTAAACACACTATTTGCATATCAGTTTTATTTCTTTCATACTTATCATATTTTTTATTGGCTTTCAAAAAGTTTTTCAAGGCTTCTTCTTCCAATTCCATTCCTTCATAGCCAAGTCCCATATTAAAATACAAATCCCCAGTTGCACGTTCATCTGAAAGGTCTTTAGGTGGTACAGCTTTATGTAAATAGTCTAGCCCTTCCTTGTATTCTCCAAGGGCGATGTACTCAGCCCCAAGATTAAATGCACATGTTCTTTCAGTTTTATCATCGTTAATCTCCCTTGCTAGTTTATATGCTTCTTTATAGCACTCCACAGCATTTTCTAGGTCGTCTCCATAGTGATACTTTGAGCCCTCCCCTGAAAGCTGACCTATTTTGAAAAGCTTTTGCTGAAGCTGATCATCTTCCATCTTCATGATGTCTGTATAATGAGATAAATATAAAAGTATCACATGATATCTGTATAATGAGATAAATATAACAGTATATGTAATTTTGGTTTTGGAGTAATATATGTGGATATATTACCTGCTAAGATTTTATATCACCCGAGCCGTTAGGAGAGGGTGATATTTTATCTTGGCAGGTAATATATCCACATATATCACTATAAAACCAAAATAATAATTATATTACCCTTCCCCTGCTGAGTTTAGACGATTTTTTAAAAAGTCATTGCTGTTTCAAATGAAACGTCCAAATAAGATTCCCTTTAGGGTACCCCTTCATCACAACATGACGTCACATAAATACAGGACGTATTTTTCCCTTACCTAACGAATGTAAAACAAGAGAAAAGGAGTAGTCTATTGAACTCACTTTTTTGTGATTAATATCAAGCTTTCGTGAGGTCATATTTGTTTTCAATACTGGTGAGAGTACGTATCATTACTCTACTTTGGTTAATATTTATCAGTTGACAGTTAAAAAGTGCTTGTAAATCGGAATTTACACCGCGTAAAATCGAACCTATATACAGGCATCACCTCAGCGCATGTTGTTTACAACGTGGGGTACCCAACAGGGAAATTTAGTGTGTATATTACCCTTCTCACTCTGGCTCGGTAATATCAATTTCTTTCGGGTGATCTATATCTAATCAAAAAGGCGGCAAAAATCTGGAAGGGTAATAATATCACCTGTTCAAGCAGTATAAACGTTTAAAAAATATGTAGAACCGTATGGTACTCAGGTTACAAAAGTTGACAGATGATGCCAGGCAAACCAAAACTAGTGTGTTAGGCTTAACAGTTGGGCGCCATATTAGTGTATAATATATAACTAAAAAATGAGGCAATTCCTAGCTTGGCAACAATTCAAACATACAAGGTAAGTCAATTGTTTGTATTGTCAATCACTTTATAATCAATCGCAACAGTTCTATATTGGTGGCGGTGGTGGGATTGGAACCAACGCCTGAGAAGAGACTTAGGTGTAAATCAGAGATGAATATAAAAGTATCACAAGTATCAAGCAGTATAAACTTTTGAAAAATATCTTAAATAAATCATATGTCAAAGTAACTTATCGTAAAATTTTCAACTGCAAGAAAAAATACAATAAAATAGCTAGTAGATTTATTCTAATCTACATGTATAATATATACACCGACAATATGCTTTTTCTCTTTATACAACATTATATAAGTTACTGATTTATAAATTTAGCTGAAGTGACATTATAGTGCATGGTTGCCAATATTTACTTAAAAGTATACTTATCTAATAAAGTTAGGTCAATGATCAATGGCAAAAACAATCAAGATAATTGACAATGCCTATACATGTACACGTAGTGGTGAAACATGTTTACATGTCTGTCAAGTCATATATGACATTTATTTTATAAATTCTGGTATAAAATAGGTATGTTAAAATACGTTAATGTAAATTACATTGTGATGAGAGGGGATGGGGTACTTGCAGGGGATACTATAAATTTATACTTGTGGGGGATACTATAACCAAGATCCAGACTCAAAAAAAAGTACATGTATCTTAGAGCAAACAGGACGTTTCGGCCCCAAACCAAATCGGCCCCAGTGGGAAAATCGGCCCCTGGACATTTCGGCCCTTTTCCGCGAGACGTTTCGGCCCTACTATATAGTACAGACAATTAATTAAATTAATTAACAACAATTAATTTAATTACAATTAAACAATTATGACACTTTAATTCTTTAAATAATTATTTATTATCTTTTGATCTCTGGAACTATTTAGATATACGTTTATGTTTTTAAAGGTGTAACAAACAATAAAGGCAGGTTAATCCTTAATTTATAAAACAAACCATTATTAATTGATTAAGAAAGTTACTTACAATTATTCCTTAGAAAACATAATTTTTTTTATCTTAATTAAACTATACGTATTTTTTTCAAGGTGTAACTAATTATCTGTTTATAGCTTTATGTAAGTAATATCAGAGAAAACTTCAAAAGATTTTTAAAAAAAACGGTTTGCTATAATCTCCTGATAATATTTTTTATTTAATATTATTGTTATTAGATAATGATAGATATTAGATGTTATAAAAGTGATTGAAAGACAGAAACCAAATTATAAATGCTATGTACCTGCTATATATTTATTAATTAGTTTAATCAAACAATGTTTGACAGTGATAAAAGAAGTATAGATAATATATTATGGCTTCTGTTTTCTTTTCATTGTAATATTACATGACCGAATGTTTCGATTTAGATTTTAAGGCTTCTGTTTTCTTTTCATTGTAATATTACATGACTGAATGTTTCAGTTTTTACTTGCATGAACAACTAACTTTCCTTACCTGATAATTAAATGTGTTAGATTTTTCAATATCAAGGAAATAATTACGAGTAGCTATTTATTGTGAGATATTTATAAACATTGAAGTTAACATTAAATGCAACAAGTATCTAATCGTTGATGGTTTTGGTAAAGATTTAATCTTACGTAAAATAATTTATCGTAAATAGGTATCGTAAATCTTTCAAGGTACTTGGAAATTGGCGTTCCACTTCATGAAAATTGTCATTTATGATTATTATAACTATGAAATTTTAATTTTTAAGTTTAAAACACAGTACTTATTCTGGGCCGATTTGGTAAAGGGCCGAAACGTCTGGGACCGAAACGTCTTGGGTAATTTGGGGCCGATATGTCTTGGGGCCGAAACGTCTCGAAATCGTCTTAGAATAAGCCAAAAAGTATTAATACATTTTGATTCATTTAGAACAGAAAAGAAAAATCAAGATTGTTTAAAATGAATAGCTTGTAAAATAAGTATCTAAACTTATAATTCTTCATATAAAATTTTATAAATGATTAACAATATAAAGCAGTTATACCCTGTGTATTTAATCAATAATTATACAGTATTCGATCATCCCATAAAATTATTTAAATAAATTTTATAACTTCTCAGAAGTTTTCAGTAATCAATTTTAATCAGATGAAATGTCCTTTTTACAAGGTTCATAATATATTTTCCTCTTATTTGTGTAGTTCATTATATAGAGAAGACAACTGTAAATTTTGATACAATCTACAAAATACTCATCTTAAAAAACTTGTAAACACAGGTTAAAATGAAAAAAACAACTTTAGATTTACTTCCTGTTAAACAGTACCTCAACGAAAGTTGCAACTTGTCAACAAAAAACAAAACATTGATTCAACTTGATTAGCATTTTATATGATAATAAATGCATTCTACTAATTGATAAACATACATAATATAAACAATCCGATCAACACCCTCGAGAGCACCTGTCATTCAATTAGACGCCATGTTGTTTACGTCGGATCCACGGTAACAAATTGATCGAAAAGAACTTTTAGCTACAAGTTGATTTTAAGTAGGCAAAAGAACATCAATATTTTTTTTGTTTCAGTAATGCAGACACATACTATTTCTTTAATAAAAAAACAACGTGTCAAACAAAAAATCTAGAAGAAGGTTGATCCCCCAGATGCATTAAATATTACACGACCCGAAAGTTTGAAAAATTTTTAAAGTAAGGTGAGTTGCTTAAGGAACACTAATAGTGATGTTTTGTTAACTTCAGATGTTATAGAAGTATCCTTATAGCAGCTTAGTGAATATACTAACACTACTTCGCCAAAAAATGAACGGTAGTGAAATAATTGATCGTTGTGCCGAAGAGTTCTGATTTATTTTAGCAGATAATTGATAAATAAATGTAAATGTACAAATGATCTGTGTTATAAACTGGCATATCATATCAAAGAAAAAAATATTGCCTGATTAAAAATAAATATTCATTTTGTCTGTTCAAAGTGTATTTATTGTATTGTAAGTATTATATATGTGGTATGCAGATTTCGTTGATAACATCTGGTATAAATCTATTTCTGTTCACACATCTCAAAATTGTTTACCTCACTCTATTTTCTAGCAAAAAAAGTCTTTTGTCTGGCTTTTGTTCTGCACTTGAAGAACTCCAAAAAGGAAAACTTGTGTCATTATCTTAATTTGTGAGAAATATGCACTTCCCACGTCATAAAATCAAAAACTAGAATTGACAATTATAAAGTTCATGATAAAACCGACCGGTGCCTTCAATTGTCTTGAACAATTCAAACTTATTATTTCAATTAACTTTTTACCTGTAGCAGTAGGCCCTAAATTCGTTTCAGGTTTTATTTAAAACACAATTTTACCAAAGTAGGCATTAGGATCACTGAATTTATGACCAATTACCGGATAATACAGTTGCACTTTAAGACACACTAGAACAGAAAAGGGTCAGCTATTTTGGACAACATGTACGTTACACAGCAAGGAGTGACTTTTGCTAGAATAAAATATGAACAAGAAGTAATTGTAGGTTACGATTTTTTGTTAAATGTAGCTTAGTTTCAAATATCTTTTAAATACATGTAGCTATAAATTGCGAATATTTTCTTTTTTGTCTTCTGATTTTTGTTTTCAATTTAATAATGCTGATGTGATCAAAATTAAAAACACTTTGATTGATACTTGAACAGAGACATACAGTAAATAACTGAGATATGCAACTTCCTAGCCAGTCTAGACTTAAGATATTAAGCCTGCTTGTTTAACTTAGAACTCAATTGTAGCAAGTAAAACATATTCACCAGGTATCAAAATCAGTAAAATAATACATTTTCTGAAAGCTTATTAATATATTTGTCTATGGCGGCAGTAAAAAACATTTACAATTCCCATTTGAATAAATGATAGGGGCTCAATGGGTATGTTCTACCATGTTTTTCTTAGTGAAAGTCAAGAAATGTTTCAAATATCGACGATAATTTAACACGAGCTAAGTGCTGTAGGCCTATGGATAAAAAGGTTACCTTTCATATGGTGTATAATATATAAGGATCAAATGTACATCTATTAAGTTTTATTTGCTTCAAAATTTCTTAGTTTTCACTTTCTGATAAGCATGAGTGATAGTTCAATGTCCAGAGTATATAAAGTATTGGAGCTGCTTATCTCTGTTATATAGATCTCTGCATTGAACAAATATTTTAAAGTCTTTCCCATTAAAATTCTACTTTGAAAGACCATGAATGAACCTACAAAAATTAAGGAAGATGTAACATAATTAAAATAACACAGAAAAAAAAATAATTAAGAAAAAAAAACAACTTTATCATACATTTTTCTGTCGCCTCTTTTTGCTTAAAAATTGTCATTGCTGCTATTTTACTGTCTTGGCGTTACTATACAGTTGTTTAGGCAGTAGCGGATAGCTAAGGAGATCGGCGCTGCTTATGTCTTTAATAATAATATTCAGAAAATCAAATTGATGCCATTCAGAAGTCAAACTACTTCCCTTTTTAAAATAAAATATTTTTAGCAGTATCTTTGACATTACATGTAGTACTCTTTGTTTATGTTCGGCATATAGTTCAGGTAGTAGTGGATAGCTTTGGGAGTATGGGATAGGTAGGTGAAGGTCAATGAGGGCGAGTCTCAAAACGTTCTAAATTTAGTATTTACAAAGTACATGTCACAGAAACATGTTTTGGGGTTACTGGAATGAAAAATGTTACATTTGATAGTAATCTTTCAAATTTTTATATTTCAATAAATATATAAATAAATATCTGGTCAACAACTTATGATGCAACTGTGACATGTAATAGTTTGAACATAGCTATAGCTAGTTTACCATAGTTATTTCTTTAAAAAATCTATAACTGTATCAACCATAGTAAATAGCTTTATTTATTTAAAAATTATTTATTTATTTTGTAACATCACAGTATACAAGCAATGATAACTGTATAATATGTCGCAATTTAACAAATAAAAACAATATTTCCTAAGATCTGTATAGATGAATTAAAAAGTAAACTATATATTCTGAATACATAAATTACAAAAGAAATTGCAATAAACTTGAGCTGAGCATGTGTATTAAGTATGAAAAATGAAACAACAAAGTTCAATGAAAAAGAGGTCTGTTTTACATTAAAGCAATATTATTAATCTTATAATCTAGCTGAAAGAAGAGTTAATAATGATGGTATATTCAAAGTATCAATACAACTGAGTTTAAATTATAAAAAGATAGAATAAATAATATTATACCATTAAAACTGGGATAATTTTTTGTTAAAGTCTATTTTTAATCCACTTTTGACGGCGTTTTGACACATAAAATAAATTTTGAGACCACCCCCAGATGTAAAATCCGTTACTGACAGAAGCACTTGCTATTCATTTTCAATAATTTTTAGTGTCAGTAGGCGTTATATCTGTAAAAGCTTTTGCAAAATTATAAACAAATGATTTTTACACCAAATCATGTCAATATTTCATTACTTTACTTGGTGTTGATCAATAGTTTTTTGTTTATTTCTTTTGGAAGCGCTTATAAACAGTCTGACGGTGACAACATCCGGTTACCTCGTTCTGATTTATGTAAGAAAAACTCGCTGTGCAATTTGAAATAAATAAAACAAAATTAGCCACGGATGGCAAATATATCACTGTTTTTGATGGTATAATTGTATTATTTTGAAAAAGGCATATTTGATGGAAAGGAGCATTGTTACTGCCATGTTATCCGCTATACCCTAAAATCCGCTACTGCCTAAACAACTGTAGCTTGAGTAGGCTGCAGTTTTCCAGAAATCCATAATCTTGCAGTTTTTGTAGGGAATAAGTTTTTACAATTAATGAATTAAGGAAAGCAATTGCACATTTTGTATATTGCACTTTCAATACCAAAAGGTTTGCTATATTATGAAAGTTACGGCAATGTGTTTCCTTGCCATATGTTTTCGCGACTATTTTGATTAATTAAAAAAGTAAAGATGTTAAAAAACAACAAATTTTCACCAAAATTCAGTGTTTGGGCATTTGTTAACATGAAAAATCTAGTTTTTGGGTAATTCCAAAGTTTTGCATGATATTTTGGTAACCTTTTCCCTCATATAAGTGTGTTTCGACGGTTTTTTGCCCCATCCCCCCATTTTGAGACTTCAAACAGTGAAAAAATGAATGATTTAGGCCGTAACCACTGGTTTTTCTTTTGAGAAATGTTGTTAAAAAAATTTACCATGTTTTTGGAGCGGTTCCCCATTATGGCCAAGAATGTGTGACGGGTTAAAAATGGCCTCAGGTCAATCTTACTCTTAGGGTAACTAATAATTAACCGATGCTGAAAAGCCTTTTACTCTATCTCAATTCATTGAGAAATTGCAGCACTTTGAAATCAGTTTTGACTATAACCAAAAAAAAAGAAAAAGAAAAGAAAAACATTTAATTGTGTGAATGAATCAAATATCCCCTATATATAATTATATAGATATATAGACCCTATGTTTTCTAATTAGGATTACGATAAATATATAAGTTCTAGCCGTATGTGAGTCGTACTTGAGTCACATACGACTAGCCAGGACACACTGTATTGGCTAGCCGTACGGCACTTTTCAAAAATATATGGAAGGGGAAAGTGCATATGTTAGTTATGAATTTAAGCGAGGATTTTAGTCAAGAATGTTTACTTTTTAGAGATTAATTGACGTGTTGGCTACAGTAAAGAATGTACGTACTTTGTCATCACAAGACGTCGAGAAAAAATAGCATTTGGTTGCTGTTAAATAACATCAATTGAAATAGTTTACAAAATTTTGATAATAATTATTTTTTGTTTCGTTAAGTTAAATTTTCAAATTGAAAAAAAAAAAAAAATACCGACGGTATAGAAGTTTGTTCATCGTCCATCATTAAGGAAAGTTTGCATTATTAAATTATTTTCCTTTTATACGTTTTTTTTTTAATATTCTTTTTATTTATTTATTTATTCCCCTCCGATCATTATTTATTCGATCCATGTGCTTAATTAACAGATTTAACAATTCATCTTCCATACAAATCATAAGCATGAAAATTAAGGACGTTATAACATGCAACTCTGACACTTAATTTTTATGCTCCCCGAAAAAATTTCGGGGGAGCATATAGTCGCCGCCTTGTCCGTCCGTCTTTCCGTCTGTCCGTCCGTCCCCTTTTCTTGTCCGGGACATAACTTTGAAACAACAAGAGGTATTAACATGAAACATTGTAGGTAGATAGATCTCATTGAGTAGGTGTGCAGTGCACAAGAACCGTAACTCTGCCTTGCCTAATTTTTGAATTATTCCCCTTTGTTTATTTTTACACTTTGAACTTTGTCCGGGACATAACTCTAAAAGTATAAGAGGTATCAACATGAAACTTTGTAGGTAGATAGATCTCATTGAGTAGAAGTGCAGTGCACAAGAACCGTAACTCTGCCTTGCCTAATTTTTGAATTATCCCCCTTTGTTTATTTTACACTTTGAACTTTGTCCGGGACATAACTCTAAAAGAATAAGAGGTATCAACATGAAACTTTGTAGGTAGATAGATCTCATTGAGTAGGTGTGCAGTGCACAAGAACCGTAACTCTGCCTTGCCTAATTTTTGAATTACCCCCCTTTGTTTATTTTACACTTTTAAACTTTGTCCGGGACATAACTCTAAAAGTATAAGAGGTATCAACATGAAACTTTGTAGGTAGATAGATCTCATTGAGTAGAAGTGCAGTGCACAAGAACCGTAACTCTGCCTTGCCTAATTTTTGAATTATCCCCCTTTGTTTATTTTACACTTTGAACTTTGTCCAGGACATAACTCTAAAAGTATAAGAGGTATCAACATGAAACTTTGTAGGTAAATAGATCTTATTGAGTAGGTGTGCAGTGCACAAGAACTGTAACTCTGCCTTGCCTAATTTTTGAATTATCCCCCTTTGTTTATTTTACACTTTGAAATTTGTCCGGGACATAACTCTAAAAGTATAAGAGGTATCAACATGAAACTTTGTAGGTAGATAGTTCTCATTGAGTAGGTATGCAGTGCACAAGAACCGTAACTCTGCCTTGTCTAATTTTTGAATTATCCCTCTTTGTTTATTTTACACTTTGAACTTTGTCCGGGACATAACTCTAAAAGTATAAGAGGTATCAACATGAAACTTTGTAGGTATATAGATCTTATTGAGTAGGTGTGCAGTGAACAAGAACCTTAACTCTGCCTTGCCTAATTTTTGAATTATCCCCCTTTGTTTATTTTTTACACTTTGAACTTTGTCCGGGACATATTTCTTAATGTATAAGAGATATCAACATGAAACTTTGTAGGTAGATAGATCTCATTGAGTAAGTTTGCAGTGCACAAGAACTGTAACACTGTCTTGCCTTCTTTTGTAGTTATTGCCCTTTGTTCATTTTGACACTTTGAACTTTGTCTGGGACATTATTCTAAAATTATAAGAGATATCAACATGAAACTTTGTAGATAGATAGGTCTCATTGGATGGAAGTGCAGTGCTTAAGAATCATTACTCTGCCTTGCCTTATTTTGAAGTAATTGCCCTTTGTTTATTTTTACCTTTGACTTTTGTCCTGGACATTACTTTAAAACTATTAGAGATATCAACATGAAACTTTGTAGGTAGCTAGATATAATTGGATAGAACTGCAACGCTTCAAGAACCTAAACAAAGCCTGGTGTAATTTTGGAGTTATTGCCCTTTGTTCATTTTTTTTATACTTTCCTGTGTCCAGAACCTTCTCGGGGAGCATCACCCGGTTCAACCGGTTCTTGTATTAAGATAGATTATACAACGCTTACTCGTTTTCATTTTTTTTTGCAAAATTGCGGAGCATCTTTATTAAAGTGAACACACAAGGGCATTTTCGACTTCCATATAATTTTGAAAAGTGCTGTACGGCTAGCCAATACAGTGTGTCCAGGCTAGTTGTACGTGACTCACATACGGCTAGAATTTTTGGCTAGCCGTACAGGCCCGTACGGCTAGCCACTTCCTTTATTGAAAGAATTGCCCTACAATATTTAAATAATAATAGAACGATTTTGCAATAAGCATAAATAAGATAAAGAGAAATAGATTCTCAAATTAAAATTGAAGCACTAAGGCTTCGAAGGAGTACCGGTAGGTCGATACACCTAGCTAACAAAATAAAGAAATGCACAAGCTTATATAGTAAATATAAGTGCAAAAATCACATGACCAAGTAAACAATTAAACATCGGATAAAAATGGAAAGATATAACCAATGAATAAAGCCGTACCAGATTAACTTCAGCATAAATGACAAAATGGCTGTGCCCAAGAAATAACAATAATTGAAACTAGCGTAAAGTAAAAACAAAAGGAATTTAATTTAAATAGTACGCATTTAAGATTCAAACTTTTACATGCTCCTGGGGTAAAAGGTTAAAGAATTCTTCTCTTTCATAAATGCACAGGTGGCACAGGTGGCAGTATCAGTGTTTTGACACCCCTACCTATTTGCCCCTGGACCCCTATTACAACAATGAAAAAAAAAATTCAACACTTTCCGGCTAACTATAAGGTACCAAATACAAAACCACTGATAAAATTATTATAAAATAAAAATTTTCCACTATCAAAGTTATAAGTATAGAAAGGTGAAAAGCCTACTATATGTTCATTTGGGAAACAATGTGGAACACGGTACAAGTCAACCCGGCCCCAAGTCAACCCGGCCCTAAGTCAACCCGGCCCCAAAATTGGTCAACCCGGCCCCAAAATTGGTCAATCCGGCCCCACGGTATTTTTATTTGGTCAACCCGGCCCCAAAATTGGTCAGTGCGGCCCCAAAATTGGTCATTCCGGCCCCAAAATATATATTTTTCAAAGAAAACTTTTTAAGTCATTTTGTTGTATGATGGAATAAAAATGATTTATTATTAATTGAAGATTATTAACTATAGAACAATAGTAACAAAAAGTGTCGGTAAATTAAATTGCGCCGATTAAGTCTTTTATACGCAATATTGATGAATTATTATATAACATCAACAATTATATGTACATCAACATTAATTCAGATGTGATAATCAAAACAGTTTAAAGCAATCAATTAACAAAAAAGGTATAGCTGTGAAAACAAATTCTTTTAATAAGTTGGTAGTATCTTTCATGTCTTTATTCGTTGTAAATTAAAAATGGTTCCGTGAGTGTTAATGCAATAATTAGGAAGAAATGCATAGAATTTCGAGTTAAAAGGTTTGTATAAACATAGTTTCCAACAATATTTTTTCAATGAATTTGAATGTTTTTATTGAATACGTTCATTATTATAATTAATATTTGTTTCGTTTTTTATTAACTTATTTTCAAAGAATATTTACTGTGGAAAAAAAGTATTGGAATATTACTAAGTGTTTGGAAAATTGATAGTGTTTTGTGTTTAATCACTTTATGTCATAAATAAAAAAGTATGCAATTGAATGTATGAAAATTATTTTTTATATTATTTTGTGTGATTCTTATAAATGGTTACAAACTTTTTTACAGGCTAAAGAGGTTGCCGCAATCGATGTCGTGAAATCTGCTGCTTCTATCGTCTCATTGAACTTTTGTTTTTGTTGTTAATTTTTATCTTATTTCTTGATAAGTGTTTACATTTTAAAGCAAAATAAATAATAAAAAAAATGGGGCCGGGTTGACCAGAAATAAAATTGTTTTGGGGCCGGGTTGACCAATTTGGGGCCGGGCTGACTTGGGGACGGGTTGACTTGGGGCCGGGTTGACTGTAATTCTGTGGAACATGTAAAATTTCACATTGTTTTAGGGATAAGGCTTACCATGTGTATACTGTCAATTAATTGTAAACATTTTATAATTAGTGCTGCACTTGTTTGGAATGTCA